AAAAAAAAATCTATAGTTATAGGCATTCATTTAAAAAAAAATAACACAACTTAAGAAAGCACAAAAATAAAGTCGCTGCTTCAGAGAATCTTTTTTAGAAAATAACCAATAATTTATTAAGTTTAATCTTCACACATTTTTTTTCAAGTGAAATCAAGAGTGACAAAAAAATCAAATACTTAAATTAGGTGATGTAGGCCTATATATACTGTATATATATCTGGGCTATATAATAATTATATAGCACACCTGTAATGCTCCAAAACATGTTCACATCAAAATAGTAAAATATAGCAGCAGCCAAAGCCACACACGGATGTGCCTCATATATGACGGTGTCATTTCCCATTTCTAAATAATTCAACATAAACAGACTCGGCGTGTTTATACCTTGTGAAAGTGTTACGGTAATTACTCATATTTGTGCGTAAAATGACTACCACACAGTTCACGAAGAGGGCAGATTCGTTTGCAAAAAAAAAAATAAAAAAAAATAGTGGTTTTAAAGAGGTGGGTGATTATTTTTTTGAACCCCTCCTCATTGAACTCACATTACTCAGAATTAATAGGAAAGTGAAAACACATTTGATATGATGGTGAACTTCTGCACATGTGAGCCAGTGAGGTGGAGGATAAAACTCTGATCTCAACCAACATTACAAAAACAATAAATAAATGAATTATCTTTTCACTAAATACTCATTTCTTTGTCTCAACACCGCTGACAATTAAACAGCCCATAAATGTAAGTCTCCACACTGGTGGTTTAAAAAAGAAAACCAAAAAAAAGTGAGTGAATATCCCTGAATGTGACAAACTGTCAGGGTGGAGAAGTTCGTTAGTGTGTGCAAGATACATGATCAACAACATCAAAGATCAGCCTCCCCCGCAGACCTATAACATTTATCAGTCCCATATTAATAACAAAATCGAAAAAAAAAAAGTGCAACAACGAAGAGTGAATGACACGAAATGAAAAGTGGAAGTAAAAGTCTTTTTTTGTTTGTTTGTTTGTTTGTTTATAATCCCAGACGAGACGTGAAGAGCTGTTGATAAAATCCCTGTTAGTTAGGCTACTTAGGCTATTATTAATCACTCGATCAAAAATGTAGTAGGCTATTTTATTCATGATGTGTGAACCTCAGTGCACCGCAGAGTATTTCATTCGTTTCTGTTTTTGCCGCTGGTTGCAAAACCACACTCGAACCACATTCTTTTTCAGGTCCAGTTTTTCGGCGATGGCCGCAATTTTTTCCGAGGAGGGCCGCGGCTGGATGGCAAAGTAAGCCTCCAAAGAGCGCTTCTCCGGCGCGGCGATGGAGGTGCGCTTTCTTTTCCTCTCGTTCCCGTTGAAAAGGTCCGGCTTGCTGCTTTTCTCCCGGTACGCAGCCTCTGCTTCCTCCAGCCAGGCCTGGAGAACCGGCTTGAGCGCTATCATGTTGTTGTGGGACAAGGTGAGGGACTCGAACCTGCAGATGGTGCTCTGGCTTAAGGACCCCACTCCGGGGATCTTGAGGTTGGCCAGCGCAGACCCGACGTCCGCCTGGGTCACTCCGAGTTTGATCCTCCTCTGCTTGAACCTCTCGGCGAAGGCTTCCAGCTCCCTGGGATCCGACTCCACGTCGTTGACGCATGCCATGCCGCCGTGCACAGACAGAGAGTGGGGGTGGGCCATGTTGGCCATCGCCTGGTGCAGCTGCCCCATGGTCTGCAGGTGGTGGTGAGGGTGCTGGTGGTGGTGCGCCGTCGTGGTCATCCCGGGAGGCTCCGGAGCGCCCATCCCGGTCACGGCCAGGCTGGTGGAGAGGTGATCCAGGAGGTCTCCGGCCTCCAGGGTCTGCCCGAGGTGGTGGTGGTGGTGGTGGTGGTGAGAGGCGATGGTGGAGGGGACGTGGGAGATGGGCACGGTGGTGGAGGAAGAAGAGGAGGCTGAGGTGCAGGGGACACTGCTCATGGTATGGTAAGTCACGTCTGGTTTGAACGGGTGACTCTTGCCGTGAGAGACAATGCTGTCAGCAGCCGCCAGAGCCTCTGCCCGTGCCAGCAGGCTCTCATCAAAGCCTCCGAATATATTGCCCTGCAGCTGCAAGCAAGAGTGCGCATACTGGAGTCAGTGGGGAATTGTGTCAGGCAGCTCTCAGGATCTAAAAAACATTTTCCAAAGGCAAGCAGCGCCGAGGAGAGGAGAGAACCCTCCTCAAAGCGCAGGTCATAAAAATTAATATGAAAGGAAGAGCATTGCTTGAATAGACGTGTAGATGAGAGAGGGGGGGGAGGAGGAGGTGGAGGAGGGGGTTTGGGAGGGAGAAACACAGAAAGAGGGGGAGAGAGAGAGAGAGGGAGATAGCGGATAGAACAAAGTCCTGTCAAATCAACTTTACAGACATTTCTAGTGTGATATTTTTCCCCCTCCTCTAACTCAGTATACTCTAAAGCCATTCTCTCTCCCCCCTGACCTGAACGTACCTGCGGGGCGGGCAGACAGACTCTGCGCATGCCCTCCGAGCCTGAATGCAGGCCGGGATACTTGGGCTCGTGCAGAGCCGGATGCATGGAGAAATGCTGCTTGCCGTTCATGGTCATCATCCTCCTCCCTGCAAGCACCTCGCGAGCAGTGTGGCCCCTGACATGAAAGCCGGGGAGCGGACAGCTACAGAGCTCCTGTGCTCTCCTTCACCAGACTGAGCTGTTAACATTGGCAGCGCCTCCCGGCGTCCCTCTCTTCCCCCCCTCTTCCTCCCCCCCTCCTCCTCCTCTTCTTTCAGCCTCCCTCCTCCTCCTCCTCCTCTTCCTCCCCTCCCACCTGCTCCTCTGCTCAGTTTACTTGTTGCAAAATGTAGTTCTCTGTGCGGGATTGTCGAATAATCCCTATATTGTTATAATAAAACATTGTTCATTGGTGAGATGTTGGTTTAACAATGAGTTGACCGTTATTATGTGAACCACTGTAGCCTATATTATTATTATTTCTGTTTTAAAAAAAGGTGCTCTGAATCAGGATTACGCACATCTCGCCTCACCTTTGTAACTCAGAATGGGTTAAAGGGGCCAACAATGGACTACAAAATGACAGCGTTAAAAGGCATTGTTGAGCCAACTGCGTTTGGGCGTATTAAACAGCATGAAAACCCCAACAGCGACGTGCACACTAGAGTTAGTTCAAGCGCCATCACTACAGTGCGCCAATCATTTCAGCACCATGGACAGGGGCCCCGCAGGTTGCTGACCCGGGGGGCCCCTTTGCCTTCCTCTCCTCCCATGTGAGAACGCCCAAATCCTCGGGGCCGCCTTACAGGCTTCTCATGTGGCCGCCCGCCTTAAACTCATGGAACCCGGGGTTGGACGGGCCGAAAGAGGAGCCAGGCTGGCAGAGGCGCGCTGATGATACAGCGGGTCCATCCGATCCTGCCGGCCGCCTCTCTGGTTCCCCAGACTCTGAATAATTTAGCAGCGCGGTGGCAGGCATCCATTACCGCGTTGGCATGTTCTTATTCATTACACAGATTAAAACAGCCAAGGTCTTTTTTTTTTCTCACCAAATAGCCAAACTTTGCTGGCTATTTGCACGGCTTTGTGCGCATGTTTCCATGACCTAACACACACATATGAAGACACTTTTTTATAAAGTTTTGGTCGTTTTGATTTACCTGTTGAGCCTATATAAGAAATGCAACCACGCATTAATTGCATTAATAATAAAATGGCCTAAAGAAACAAGGTGAGAAGCTGTGCAGGGATCCCACTGGATTTAAGATGTTGGAAGTCCCTTACCTCACCCTCACAGCCTTCCCCCTTTCTCTTAATAGCTGTTGTATTGCCGGGGCCATTCATCATTTAGTGCTCATTGTTTACAATTGTGTCATCTCTGTGCTGTTCATATTCTGAAGATTGCATCTGACATGTCTTATAGAGAGTGTTGTCATATCTGTGGCCAAATGACAGGCTTACACTCCACCAGGATGCCCTAACTGTCACTGCATTCATTCTTTTACCCAGTCTGAAGAGTCATTTCAGTAAAAACTGAAGCACCCTTTGTTTTCTTGTTTCTCAGTAATCATAGCTGGACATATGGGCCTGCTTCTCTCTAATGTTTACAACATTTTAGAAAAAAATGTTTTTTGTATTTCTTATAATGGAACAAAGTCAGAATTTAATGTAATTGTTTGATTACCTCAGCAAATATCTGGCCCATCTCCCCAAAAATATCATGAGTTTCTCATGATTAGAACTCATAATTGAGATGATTTTGACTTGTCATTTAAAAAAAAAGGTGGATTATTTTACTCTGCTATAGTATTAGAAAGACAACTCATTATTATTTTTTATCAAATTACTCTTTTACTTACTTTTAATTATATTTTTATATTTATATATATTTATACCAATGTCAAATTTTAATGGAGCCCAGTTCCCCCCAGTACTTGTTTCTTCACCGGTCCGCCACAGGATCTGCCACGAGCAGTGTGCCACTCAGGCCCCAGTTTGAAATCTCTTCCCTCTGGGAGAGCCGGAAGTCCTTGCATTAAACCAAACAGACTCTGAGTGTTTTCACTTGACTTCCTAAAGTAAGAAACGCTCATGCATTATTCAGTGATATTTTAATATGTCGTAGTCGCTGGGTGCTGTAATTAAACTGAGCATCAGAGGTCTTTTCCTGTGATGTGGTGGGATTTGTTTGGGGGCACGGGTGTCAGTGTGAGCGCCTGTGAGTACAATGATGGGCCTATTCTCCTACACAGCATAGACACAATGGAGGGTGTAGAATTATGTTAACTCTCCAGTTAGATTTATCTTATATGTGTGCCCAAACCCCACATAGAACCCCACACATACTTTCTGTTAGAATTACGTTCATTGTGATTCAATGTTGAGAATCATAAAACCACAAAGAATTCCTAGGGGAGAAAACACTTTCCAAGTTTTCAACCCCATTAGTGATTACACCAATTTTAGACAACCTCTCATTTCTCACATTTATAAATACAGAATTAAGGATGTAAACTAAAGAATTAATGAAAAATGAACAAATAATTCTTTTTGAACAACTCTTTTGTACCAGGTCATCCTGTCGAACGTACCGAGTGCTCACTGCTTATGAACGGCTTGAATCTCCTACTTTTACCACTCATACTACCTACTTTTACCTACTGTTATTGCAGGGTACCACTCACACTGCCTGCTGGTGGTGCAGTCACTCAAAACAAAAGAAGTGGGACACCCAATGGATGAGAAGAAATCACGGACGTCAGTGACAGGCCTTTCCCACCAATGAGGAACCAGCTCCATTCCAGTTCAAGACCTAGTTTTGAACAGATCTGAGCATTTGGACCAAAACTGAATTGGTTTGAAACTTTAAAAGTTGGTTCCCAGCTGGAGACAAAAACAGCAGGTTTTCCTTGGGAACCAAAGTGGGTGTGACATATTTTACAGGCTGTTGTGCATTGTGAAGCGCCCTCCGATAATGGTGCATCTGATTACAATGTTTCAACTCAAAACTGGTGGAACTAAATTGGTGTAAAAAGGGCCCGAGTGATTTAAGTCTTGTCCAGCACTCCACCCAGAGCCTGGCAGCTACTCTCACTCACTGACACTGAACAAGACTGAATGAACCGTTCACTTGAACTGGGAGGGAGTGGGACATCTGCTAATGACAAATTGATGCAGTCAAATCACATTTCTGTAACACCGTGCGCTGGGCTTACACAGCCTACCTACATACAAGTGGGATGCTGAATCTATGCATTAAAATGAATAATTTATCTTTATTAATGTAACACAACATGGTGACTGGTAATACATTTGAAGAGGTTTTGTGGGCCAGGCAGCACTAACTGTCGAATGTGCTTGTAGCCTACTATGACAGAGTGTAATGGAAAAAACTGGCACCATGTTTTGGGAAAAGTGCCAAAATTCAAAAAAAGGTTTGATACATTTACGTGAATCAATTCGAAGGAATGGATTCTGTGAAAAGGATCAGTAAGCCCATCACTATAAAAAATAAGTAACTTTTGAGAGTAGCAGCCTTTTCTTGGACATCCTATAAGTAGCCAACTCTGATTTAATTATAATTTGAATTCACTGTTGTACTTGAGTATTTTGAAGAAAAGTAGAATAAAAGTGGCTTTCAGTTAACGCTGAGCCTCTTTCCCTTTCTAAAGCAACTGAAGATTAATTTCTTAAAACTTAATATTAAAAGCCAAAATGCAATTTTTATGTGACCATGTGTAAGCAAATGACTGTTTGAAGTAGAGTTCTGTAGTATATATAGTAAATAGTTCTATATTTGGACCTAAGTCAATGGGTAATTGTGCTCATATCTGCTCTGATGCTGTGTGACAGTGCTCTTTCCCCCCTTTAGCACCATCTAACATGTTTCTATCAAACAACATGCAAAATGAAGGAGACCACACAAGAATTTAAGGTAATATTTTCTGGAATGCTTTTGCTCGTATTTTTTCCCCCCTTGCCAATGTTGACTTCTTTTTGTCAATTTTTTTTCTTTAACTTAAGATTTTCTTTTTTTCTCTCTGTCTCTCCAAGATCCAATTCAAATTGTATTTTTTTCTTTTCTTCTTTTTTTTTATCATCGTACAAGCTCCCCCATTCCTCCATCTTTATTGGCAAAAGCAAACATGCTAGTAAATTAGAAATCCATTTTTTACAAACAAAATACATGAAGAAAATACATCCACATCCTGCAAATATAAACAGTAACAAATCCAAAACTATTATTCAATAAACATTTTACATTTTTTTTTACACCGTTGTGTGATAGTAGCATACAGAAGATAGTACAAAAAGTGGGAGAGAGACCTTCCCTGAATCCTCACTTACACAAGCAAGAACCCTGCCAGTATAGGTTTGTCCTTTTTAAACTGCCAGTGACCTCATACAAAAAACTAAAAATAAAATCACATGAGAAAATCATATTTAAGTAGTAAGTGGCAAAGGGAAAAACTTCAGCTTTCCATCGCACACCTAAACCTTATTTTGACTGACGTCAAAGAAAAAAAAAAAAAAAACCCAAAAAACAAAAAATTTTAAAAAGATTTTAGTGGGGACAATGAGGTCACTGGCAGGAGGCTTCTGAGTAATCAGTCAACAGTGAGATATGCAATCTAAACGAGAAGAGAACTACCGACATTAGGTAGGTGGGAGGAAATCACGTAATGCGTTTCAAACAGTTCTGCACACTTTTAAATGTAGCGCTAGTACCAGGAGAAAAGGAGAGAATTACTGTTCTAAGTTCTCTGTTACTGACTGTATAAACACGCAGGCATAAATCTGCATGTATATTTACATCCAGATTTCTATATGCATGCAGACTCCTGCCTGTAGGTACAGTATGTACAGCTACAAGTTAAAGTCTCTCCTCTCTCATATTGGTGCTTCCGTGTGACTGGTTATATTAATGGATATGATCAGTTGAGTTGATTTATGATAAGCATACATCAAATAACACTTCATTAGGCTGCATGTAAACATAGTTATTGGTTTCAGAAAAGCAACAAAAGTAAAAACTTGAACTTTCAAAAATGTATTTTCTTGCATCGAGCATATTTCCATATGAGCTTTAATGAATTTCTTTCCTCCCACCTTGAGGATTCTAAAATACAGTCAATGTAAAGAAGGCAAAACGCAAAATAAAATGTGATGTCATGAAAGGTGCACATTGTGGCTGCACTTGTAGAGTGGGTTTAGAGCACTGTCTGACAATACTCAGATGCAGGCAAAGCTGCACTAATGCACAAATAATAATGTGAGGGGGCGTGACTCCTTATGCCTTTCAGTGTCAGTGTCGTTAAAAAGAAATGTGCTACTCAGATGACAAATTTAGTGAAATAACAACAGACTGGGTTGAACACAAATGCACAACTCTTGTGAATAAGCAGAGACACTGAGCACTCTTGCTTGACCTTTCCTACCTGACACACAACCTTGTCATCCATTTAAAATGACAGAAAAAGAAACTTAAAAAAAAAGGTACAACAGTAATTTCTCTTTCAAGCATTTACAAAATTTACAAAAGTAAATCACAAATCTTGTAAAAATTCAGCCATCCGCTGATTGTGTAAGGCAAAGAAATTATTTATACATATATATTAAAATCAACTGTTCAGTATTACATTCAAACACCTGTCTATGGATCTCACTTTTTTTTCCTTTTTTTTTTTTTAAATGGGTGATCTGATCCGTGTCCTGTCAGGCCCTTTGGACGGCCGGGAGACAGAATTAAACAAGTGAAAAATGTTACACACTCTTAGAAAATGTAGAACACCCATGTGGGTGCTTATATTTACACAGAGTGGCACTGGACACTTTAGGGAGCAACGAAACACAAGTGGGGAATATTTGAATATTTACTACGAGGACTGAATCTGACGTGCATGGACATGGCAATTTGTAAACATAGTTCGGATTTTTCTATTGCACTGGTATCCTTCTGTACCTGCACTGGCTCTAATATGGTCATGGTACAGTATCAGCACCCTTGGGTGCTGGGCAGGGGTGGCTCTGTTTATTTGGGAATACAACATGCACAAACTACCATGTGTTCATGCCAGGACAGAGAGCCACAGTTAAAAATATTTGGATCCTTTTTGGGCAAACCCATACCAAAACAAACTGAATGAAATGGGAAACCACACCATACTATGCCAATATAGGCACTGCACAGTGCATTTATGCAGTGGAAAAATAAATAAATATCTCTCTGGTAGCAACAGAGAACGTTCTATTGGTGAAGGAATGGCTGCCCCTGAACTGAGGACAAGATTTTTCAAAAACTGGTGAGAAAAAGAGCTTAAATACAGTATGTATAAAAATACCTATTCACAGTAGACACAAATGTTGTGCATTACTGATATTTATCATCTGGTAAGCACACTGAAACTTACATAGGTTTTCCTATCTATAAGAACAACTTAACATTTTTCTTTCTCAGCAAAAGTGAGATGTTTTAAATAATTGTTTAGTCGAGGGATACAAAAAACGTCAGCCCTCTAAACTTCTTTTCATGTACAATAAAGTAAAGATGTTTTTACTTTGATTAGAGTCTAAAATTACTTCGTCTGAAAATACTGGAAAGGAAAAAATGAGTTCTGTTATTGACTTTATGTGGGGGAAAATAACGACTGCGGCTGCAGAGCAGGTAATGACGAATCACAATGCCTTCATCGTCTCCAAGATCGGCTCTCGTACTCGTCATCTTCATCGTCATCCTCTTCCTCCTCCTCTTCCTCCTCCTCACCAGGCAAGTAAGAGCTAGGTTCCTTCTGTTTAAGTAAAAAAAATAAAAACCCACAAATCTCCTGTTTAGCTGTGAACACTCAAACTGATGAAGTGATGGGTTTTTTTTTATACATTTTCTTTACACAGCAAAGGGTGTCTTGTCAAATACGAGTACTCATGTCGATCATTGTCAAAGCCATGTGTGTTTGCTGTCCCATCCTGAAGTTGACTGGATTACATTTGCATGTAAAATGAACCCCCCCACCACCTGTTTCTAATATTCTGCTGCCTTATATACAAAATGTTGGTGTGAAAGGGAGAAGGCCTCCAGTTAATCAGCTTTCAGAGAGACTCTTCAAATCAAATCATTTCTAACTTTGCAATAGACATATTTTCAAAATTATACAAAGCATATTGAAGCAATGGAATCGGCGCTTAGATATAAAAATTTAAAACTTACTTGAACACAAGGAAGACTGCAACCTCAAACACACAACTCAACAGTAATGCAGTGTTACTCAAAGGGCTAAAATGCTCTTAGTACTGAGAGGCTTGCCCTGATTTTCCACTGGGAGCTGCAGTGAAAAATTCAAAAGCACTGGAAACAAATGTACAAGTAAAATCTGTGAATGTAACTAAAACTTTCCAAAAGTTTCCCCACTTAGGATTTCAGTTTGTACTGTACATGAATTTCCTTTCCTGGTTTCTGGGCGGCTATATGCTACTAATGGTTCCACATTAAGTGCCTGGGTTTGTGTGTGAGGTGTCGTACCGTATTGTCCTCATCTTTAGCCTCTTCCTCCTCTGGCTCTGTTGTAACAGAGGGCGTCTTGGGCTTGTACCAGGAAATCTGCAGCACGCGCCCTTTAAACTTCGCTCCCTGGTTAGCTGCCTAGAAAATAAAACAAGACAACTTTCAAGACAACTAAGTTCTGCTTACAACTTTCACTGATTTTGTACCAGTGACGTCAAAAAATTATTGTAAGAAAAAAAATATTTGAATGATTTTTGGTGATGAGGATAAGAGAAGAAAGAAAGAGTAAGAAAAAGGCAGAGCGAGACTGGTCTGATTGAGCCATGTGACTTACATTCTCTGCTTCACTTCGCGTCTTGAAGGTCATGACGACACTGTTGGCGTCTTGGTCACGGACATCCTCAACCTCGCCAAATTTCTAAGAGAAAAAAATCGGTTTGAATTTCTGTGTAGTAGTTCAATAATTAAATTCAGTGTAACTGAACTTTAATATTTATTGTTCTTTAAATAATCATAATAATTAAAAAAAGAAAGAGTAAAGCAGTACTCACCACAAAGTGCGGCATTAGCTCTTCCTTCTCCTCCTGAGTAACCCCCAAAATAGCCAGGGCTCTGGGTCTGTGGTCAACCACCATACGGTTCACGGACCCGCTGCGAGCCATCATCTCCCGGCTTCGGCCCCTGCCGCGGCCCACGTGCATCGAACCGGGCTCCAGTGCCATCTTCCCTCGGCCCCGACCCCGACCCGCTGGAGGCCGGATCAGACCCAACCAAGTCGCCTAAAAGGAGGACAGAATGGGAGGTTTAATGCAGTTCCCGCTGTTGTTCAATACGCACCGAAGAATATATGGGCGACACCTGGCTGTGTTAAAAAAGTCATTACGAACAGATGTGGGAAACAGATTGCGCCTCGACGTTTGCTGTTGTGCTTTTCGATGTGAAACCAGACATGCCAGGAAGCTACAGTATGCCGATTTATCATTTATCTAGGAAAAAAACATAAAATAAATCTAGCATGACAAAATGATCAGCTCCTAATTTATACAGTGAGTTTTCTTGACTCTCCTCCTCAGTCACTCTCTGCCCTTTACCATTAGTTTGTCACTCCTCCATTTTTAAAGTGACATCTCCTCGCTTCCTAACCACTCCACAACCTCACAACCACTCTTCCATTTGTCCCTCCCTCACTTCTCCCTCTAATTGTCATCCTGCGATATTCTTACAAGGACCAGCGGCTCAAACTTTAATGAGACGCGGCTCCATCTGCGTTGGACCCGTGTCTGATTTGGCTTCGTTAGCGGCTGTTCCTCTGGGCTTGCTTAAGTGGCTGCAGTTTAATGTGCAGAAGGAGGGTCGGGTATGCATTTTTAACAACTAGCTAATTTAGGACCCACAGGGGTAGAGGGGAGAAGAAAAAAAAAAAAAAAACATGCCAGGAAGGGTGTTGCTAACAAAAGCTATGTTCTTGTTCGGCTGATCTTGTGACACAGGCGACCTCGTCTGTGTTTGTGATGCCGCTAGTTTGGAGGGGAGAGGAGATGTTGGCCAAGTCTGAGCTGATTAACAATGGTGGATGCAGCTGAGAGCAGAACTTTTCTTTTCATGAACAAACTAGAATTACTGCACCATAGTTGTACGCATCCACCTATAAGTCATTGTTGCAGTTTACACCCATGTCTGTCCAGACTCATAATATATGTGGTGAAGGCAGGAATTGAATAGAAGTGTATTTTTTTGGCTAAATGGAAGTGGATGTTGATGGTAATTTAGAATCTATGATTCCGGTAAATATACATTTTTAAACATCATTCTAGACGTATTGGTTAAACAGGCACACACATCTGGATTCTGTTATACACAATGTTCTACTTTGTTTTCTCCTGGCATTTTAGATGCAAAGCCTCTCTCCCATGCAGATTCACATTTATGCTTGAAGGTCAGAATGAGGGAGTATGGTAGAGGCAGAATGGATGAGATGGAAAGATGAAAGCCCATCCTGTGCTAATTATTGTTTACTCATTGTGTCGTCCCAGTCAACAGGTGTATGAAATCTAGAATCACCCAGTTTATTCTTAAATAACGGCCTAAAAACTAATTTTGACGGTCACACGGACACGACCTTTGACCTCAAATGATTCATCTCGTTCGGTGTCTGACCAGCTGTGAAATATGATAAAAATCACCCTTCTGTTGAGTTATGCTGTTGAATTATAAAAGAAAAGGTGTTTTTTCCCCAAGGATATTACGATGTCGGTGACCTTAACCTTTCACCACCAAAATCTAATCAGTCATCCTACTTGATGTTTTTGCACTGAAGACTGGAGACTGAAGACTATTGCTGTATTGTTTCCTCCCTTTGCAGAAGTGCTTTTAACCCAGAACCTATGAAAGGTGATTAGGGTGTTCACATTACTTTGCGCTTTTCTATCAGGCAGTGCTGAGTGACATATGTGACTACTATCTAATCTGCTCACTTCCTCTTAGGTTTTTCTTGGTATTACATCCTCAAACTCACCCTTAAACACCCCAAGAAAAATGTTGATGAAAAATGTTGTCACGGTCTTATCGCTTTGTGTGTGTGTGTGCGGTGTATAGAAACCTAAAGATATATCCTGAGACAATTAAATTGTAGTGCAAATATGTGATGATTCAAATTAGTAAGATAAAAAAATTAATCATGATGCCCTTTATAAAACAGCAAAGGACACCATCTACTTTCGACTTTGCTCGGTCATTGTCCTACATGACTCGAGTCAGTAGCTGTATCAAAGCACAAATACATCAGTTTCGCTTTTACTCGTGAATTGTGACATCCCTAGTGGTTTCTTTATAGACTTGTTTTTTCGCTGGTTACTGTGTGTGTGTGTGTGTTACCTCCGCTTGTAGCTGTCCCAGTTTTCTCTTGAGGTCTGTTGTGTCCTCTCCAGAGCTCATTTTCTTGTGAAAGTCTAGCTCAGCATCCAGCAGTTCCTTCTGTGCCTGGCCACAAGTTATGTTAAATGAGAAAACATTTTGTTCACTGAACACAGAGAAGCAATGAAGAAAAGTGACAAACCAAGATGAACAGTGAACACAACTTTTGTGTGTCCTCTGACTAACAACAGGGTATAGTGAGTGTTAAACTGTACCCACAGTTTACATAGTAACAGCATCTATGGTGCAAATGGAGGGAAACACTTGACTCTTGCTTGACTCTCTCTGTGTAAAAGACATGATGCGCTTTTTGTCACGCTCAGGGCCAAAAGGGCCCAAACTTACATCAGTCTTGGTCTTGGGCTGGCTGTGGTTGGGTTTGGTGCCAGGGACCTGCGAGGCAGGGTTAGGGTTCATTTCATTCTGCAGTTGTGCAATCTTCTCTGTCAGCTCCTTCAGGGTCTTCATGATGTTTGCTCTCTCCTCTGGTTTCATCCCTCGGTTTTTCTCCAGGCGGTTTATCAACGCCTGGAAGCAGAAGCACAAACAGTGAGAGAGTAGAATGTGTACACAGGGGGGGAAAAAAAATGAAAAGAAAGGGTAAATATGACAGAAAAGAAGGGGAAGCGGCAGTCTTACCTTCTGACACTCAATCTGTGTCTTTAACATCTCTTGCTTCTTCTTTCTCATGTCTTGCTGGAGTTTTAGTGCCTCCTAAATAATAATAAAAAATACAATAAATAAAATACATTCAATGAGGTTGAAAACACTATTTGCTGTTCATGGAGATTTCCTTTCTCAATGGTGGCACCTGAGAGAAACAAATGGCTAATCCCAAATCGGCTATTCTCATACCGACAAAATATGTATTACAAAATTAGGCAACATGCCTGTTTCTTCTTGAGGACTTCCTGTGCTTCAAGTGCTTTTCCTGTTTTCCCAAGGCTCTTTGAGGAGGACTTGAGGGCTGCGGAAGAGTACGGGCCCTTCTGAGTGTTTGGCAGTGCAGATGCCACCTAAGTGCCACAAAGAGAGAGAGAACGACACATTTAGGTAATCAGAATGAGTTTGTAGACAAATAATACATTAAGCACCAACCCTTCATAAATATCATATCCCTTACACACTCACAACCACACACACACACACACGCTTAAGACTAAAACATACAGTGACAGGGTCTGTGTTTGGGTTCAAGCTGTCCGGCTTGGTTGTGGCTGTGATTCCAGCCCCTGCTGGCAGGCGATGCTTGGGCACAGTGTTGTTCAACACGTAGGCCGCTGGACTGTGCTGCTTGATCCCCTGCTGATAAAAGAAAAGGGAGGAAATCTGATGAAGGGTTTCAGAAACGTGGCAAGACTACGAGATCAGCATGAAAAGATGAAGGGACTTGTGTATGTTTCTGCTATTGATACTAACCTTATGCATGTTGCCGTGTTGCGGCCCCTGGCTGGGCACTGACCCGGCCGCCTGGCTCCCTGAGCTCTGCTCCTGCTGTTGGAGCCCTGTGGCGTTGGTGCCGGGCTCGCGGTGCCAGTACACACGAATGAAGCGGTTGTTGAGGACTGCCTCGGTGCTGGATATGGCCCGTCTGGCCTCTTCATTCTTTGTGTACTGGATCAATGCCGCCTCTGGGTCTCCGCCAAACACCACCTGGAAATTGTACAGGTTAGGTAAGTTTATATAACGAAACAAACTTCTCCAGAGCTGATTACTGGCATCATCCAAAGTAGCACAACCACTATTCAATCAGGTGATATTTTTGTTACACGCTGTATTCTAGGATTCACATTATATCATGTATCATGTTTAAACAGGCTTAACTTGTGATGGTTTACTCGGATTATAGGCCTACTGGTCATTTTCCCAAGTTGTGTGGAGAGTGTAAACACATACGTGAACCATGTATAGTAAATATGACAGTCTGTTACATTGTGTCCTGCAGTTTGTCTGCCATGTGAGATGTATTTTACCTGGATATTGACGATGGTTCCAAACTTGCTGAAGTGCTCATTGAGTTTGGTGATGTTGTTGAGCTCACGTGGGATCTTACGCACCTCCAACTTAGTGTTCACATAGTGATACCTCTTGGGAAAACTGCTCTTATGTTGGTTGTTAAAGTTTGGCCTAAAACAAGAAGAGAAGACAAGCTAATCAACATTTTGGGCAAGATCTTTAACAACAATTAACAGTGAAATGGGTCCCAGATTGACGGCCTGAGGTTTGAGTTTCTGTCTTCAAACTGAACAAGCCTACATCCATAACAGCTGGACAAATATCAACCTGCTTGACACACAAGATGGATTAAAAGGAGAGGCTTTGCAATGGAAGCATCCTTGTCATGAGGATGATTGTATGCACCTGCGTGCAAGAGATAGGCTTCTGACCTATGAGTCACCTTGGCTTGAAACAAGGCTCCCTTAGCAGTAACAGGAAATGGCAGTGGAGGGACCAGTTTGTTTGATCAAATTTCAACTGGCCAGCTAGTTTCTTCACCAAATAAGAACCTGTTCGCTGAAGGTATAAAGTGTCTATGGTCACTCAGAAGTCTCCATGCCATTAAGGCATTGATAAATATGTAGTACTAAATGTAGAAGTGCAAAATCCAAAGTTCAGAGCTTAATTAAAAAATTTATCTTAATAGGCAAGACTTTTCTCCCTTTCAAAGACACAGTCTTTGGATTAGGGATGTCATTTCATATTTTTTTATCTGCCGAGTCCTGATCTGATATACTTCAGATAATACAGTGCACACGTCAAGTACATTTAGGTTATTAAAATCAATCCAATGTATATGCTTGACAATTTAATAGCCCTGCATTGCATTAAGAAACAAAATGCATGACGCTGTTCCTTAATGTTTTTTCCTCTCTCCAGTGAAACTAAGTAGTGGGTGGAGCTGCTCCTGCTTTCACACACCCACAGAACAGAGTGGAAGAAAGAAACAGCGAGGGAGCTGACGATGGCTGCACCGTGCACGAATGCTTTGTGAGTAAAGACAGCTGACATAAAACAAAAAATTGGCTCAATAAAGATTAACATAGTCGATATGATCAGTTAAAAAATGCCTTGGCGCCGTTACTTGAGATCGGATTGGGACATTCCTACTTTGATTTCTTACTTTTCCATCCAGGGTTTTTTAGCTGCTGGTCCCTCAGCTGTACTGGGCCCCATGGTTCTCTTCCTGCTGTCCTGATCTGTGTTGAAACGGGAGACATTGCTTCCAGGAGTACTGGCTACAGTGGCAGGCTCCGTCTGGATCACTATGTTGGCAGCTGGAAGACACACACGTAGACAAAAACACAGAGAAACACTGATTAACACTAGGAGCTTTTGCATTTTGTTATATCCACAAAGCTGTCCATCATCATACAGAACATTTATGTTTGGACCCTGTCCAACATTAAAAACTTAAGTCCAATAGTTCCCACTGCCCATGATTAGTTAGTGGAAGAGTGTCAGTACTAAGAACGCCAATAAGTGCTACCTCGGGAGCCTTGTCCTTCGTTAGAGGTGAGGCCGATGAGGTTGGAGCGCTGGGTCTGCACCCGAGGAATGAACTGACGGTACTGGTTACGACTTGCTGCAGTCAGTCCTGGAGATTCTGGGTTATAGCCCTCTGGATCATAGTTATCTAGAGTGTAAAAATGAACACACATACTTAATATAATACATTATAGCAGTCATAAAAATGTGAAAAGAAAATTATATAACATAAATACCAAAATATTGACACACAATAAAATGAAATTACACAATGATACCAAGCAATCCTACATAAATAAATAAGTACCGCTTGACCTTTGGTGACTTGGTGATCTAGCAGAACAATCTTTTATAGATTGTGATGAGTTTAAATGTGTCCAATAGAGTGACAGAAAACTATCACATGCTATTTTAAATACAGTTCTGAGTAGTTATTTCAATAAATATGTAATATTGGTATAAATATAAACAAATGCACAAATGAAAAAAATAAACAAATAAAGTACAATTATATTAATAGAAGAAAAATGGTATAATATAATAAACAAGTTGAAATGCCATAAGATAATAATTCTTATCCTGAGCCAGTTTACTGTAACACAAAGGCAAAATTTAA